CTATTTTAAATGTTTATTGCAATTGTAGCCAAATGTTAGCTCTATTTCTGAAATTTTGCGTTTATTAAATTTTATATTATTGTTTCGTAAATGTACAGGAAAATTATACATATTATACGCAAATAATAATTACTTGTTTCAAGTGTTTGAAAAATTCATACATTCGCAAATCTAAAAATTTATCACAAGTATCAAATCTATTCAAAATATATTCTGAATCTTAGTAAGTTTAATAAAGATTATTAAACTAAAAAAAAAATCGGTTTGTTCATTATACAAAAAAATCGCTTCTTCGATCAATTTTATAGTATTCTTTAAAAGAGAATTCTTGTTTTGAGCAATAATAATTTTCTCAAATTTGTAATATATATATATATCAAGAAAATATTCTGTGCTAAAAATAACTGTTACCTAAAAGAAAGGAAGTCAGTTGAGTATCATTTTCTTAGCAATAGAATAATATTTTTCTGTGTGCATGACACGCACGGGTCATTTGATCCTTGTTTAACATTCGGCGAACAACAAGGATACAATGAAGCATCATGCGTTTTACGAAATGCAGCCATTGTCAGGATTATTTGAACCTCTCTGAGATCGCGTGGAGATTATCGATTATAAATTCTCGATACAACGGACGCGTTCTTCTCAGCGTGCAGTCTGTTCTTTCGAACGAAATTCAATCGTACGATTTACGAGTATCCGATCGTGACTATCTTTATTTTCGCGTTGGATCGTACGCGGCGCGATGATGATCTCATTTTATCATCCCACTTATAATACCGCTGCGTCGTACTAGAGCGATGTCCTCGCCGCGTGCATGCGGCAACGCACGTCGTTTCAACGTGCGCGCGCGCGCGCGCGTACTTGTATTTCTTCGTGCGTCGTAACACGTACATTGGGAGTTTTCCAATGGAGTCGCCATGCACACGTGGGATCCTCGTAAAGGGTCCCCTACACACGCACACACGTACACATATATACGCACATATATGATGAGAAACGCATTTGCCGCGCAGCAAGAAGCGATGCGTCGCGTCGTCGACCAATCAACTTCCCGCTTTCCCGTAAGAGTGAAAGATTCGGTTAACTATAGCGTCGCTTTTTGTCTCGTGACAACCGTTTGTGTAAGAATGAAAACGCATCAAGTTGCGCGCGTATTAAGGCTACCTAATATTCACGCATGATTGCATTGAGAAAAAAAATTGTTTCTTTGATTAAATTAATCAATTTCGTCGTTTTGTATATATATGTATATATGTATGTAAAGCGAATTAAATTAATTTAGTCAAATATACAATTTTTTTTCTTAGTGCGTCGATAATTCGAAAGAAAGCAACGCACGTTTCAAAGCAGTCGGACGTGACATTTCGCAGTTTGACATTTTCTGTGTTTGTATAACGAATAAAAATAATAAATCTGTAGTAATAACGTAACAAGTAAAAATAACACAGTAAAAGTTATGTCACATAAAAAAATTAAGCTTAAGCAGTATTAAGCGAATCAGCCAATTATAATACACAATAGCAACAAACATAAACAGTAGCAAATTACAAATTATATTTTACCATTTACGTTTTTTTATATGCTATAGTCTTAAAAATAATTTTCGAACAACCGAATAACGATCACAATGCGTGTACATTTAGTCAGGAAGTACGCGTTTCGACAATGCCACGTTACGTGTGCAAATTCAGATGTTAAAGTATTCATGACCGCACTTATACAAAGTTTCGATTACTTGTATAAAATAAATGTCATTCGATAATTATTGTGTATCTCGTTAAAGCACAACATACATTCTGTCACAGAACATAGAATTGCTACAAAACTGGAAATTAAGGAAGTCAGAGAAATGTCAGAGAAATCAGGAAAAAATCAAGGAATTTTGCAAAATTTTTTGGAAAATAAAAATTCTTCGCTTCAAAGAAATTTAACATGTGTACATCACTTATACAGTTTTGGAATACTATTAATTTGATTGACAACAATCAAATGAAAGTGGTGTTAGCAACATTAGTATAGTGATTTATATTAGATTAAATTGTTCTTTTAATAAATATTTGACAATAAACAGTTTCCAAAAATCAAGATAAAAATTCAACAAATTTCAAAATCTTCTCTGAAAGTATCAGGAAAAATCATGAAATTTTCTTTGAAAATCAGAGAAAAGTTAAAGAATTTTAAAATGTGAGAAATGTATGACTATTCTGACGTACATTCCTTTTTTTTTACGACTTTTTAAATCAACGAAAATTCGAGGAATGTAGTGAGAATCGATATGTTTTCGCGTAATTACCTCATGATCATAAAACCGCATACATCGTTACAGAAATAGTTGGACTTGTACGTTTTCAACTAATTATTACATTACTAGTAGTTATGTTATTAGCGAAATGTTCGTTGGAATGAGTCGTTTCATATGTACACCTTCTGCATATTTTTGTTAAAATACTGACGTTTCAATGAACCGATGAAAGTAAATCTGAGAAAGTATATATCGATCTAAGATTTGTCTCGATTTAACCGCCACCTCTTTATTTATGGAAATTTATTCTAAAGTCTCTATTTTTATCTGATTTGGAGTGTCTGTCTTAATTTAATCCTGGTCTCTATTTATTCCAATGCTATCTATTTCGATTCATCTCGATGCATTTGCTTATCTCGATTTAATTTGACGTTTATGTTTAGAAAGATAAACATTGTATTTAACGTTTCTAATGTTTATACGTTCGATAAGAATTAGATTGATTAGCGGCATGTACTTATTGAAAATTCACACGTTTGAGGAGAAATATATAACATAATGCAATTATACTTGGATCAAACGTAATACTTTCCTGAAACGATAATAAAATGTGGAACGATCTAAGAAAATAAAACGTGACTTACTGTCGATCGCGCCTGTCCATCGCTCATTCTCCAACGAAACTGTCAAGCTTCGAAAACTGATTCTCTTGCGAGTCATGTCGCGAGTTTTTTTCGTATGTACATATCTAAATGTATGTATTGCTTTTGAAGATACAAAAATATCGTTAAAGATAAAGTTAGAATTGTGCTTTACAAAGATTATTTGCAATTGAAAACGACGATACGTAATTGAAGAAAATGTCTAATAATTTGGAGACGAATGAATTTGGGTTGGTTTATTTTGCGTTTATTATTTTGAGCGCTATAGCACGTGTAAAGGATTAGGCCATCAGCTTTATGACGCTGTATATAATAATTTGTATAACATATAAATATATAATTATGTTCTACTTATTGATTTATCGTTTTTTGATTACAGAAGCTGAACATGGCTATGCTTCAACGATGCCAATACCCGACGATATGCGGACGATTACAAAGAGGCCAAAGACGAAGAAGTCCCAAGGCAGCAGGTTCGTGTCTATTAAAATATCTTTTTACGAAACAACACATAGAAATTTACATAAATTTTTGGAAAATTAAAGATATTTTTGTACCTTATATTTTGAATGTTAATATTTACATCACATTTGCATGAATCTTTTTAAATATACAGTTTAGGGACTGCTAGCAGTTTCTATAACAGTTTTAATTCAATTTTTAAATCAAAGAGAAAAATGTTATTCGAATTATTAATTTTTTACATTTGTAATTTGCAAATATTGCAAATATTTCGCAAAAACTGAAATATACCTCAATAGAAGCATCATATTATTTCGACATGGTATATTCGATTATAAAGAGACATTTATTTTATAAAACTATTCCATAAAATTGCAACTTTTGGCAATACAGCAATTCGCGTGCTACAATCCAAAATATTGTCAATTAGCAGTTTAATCGCTCATGATTTAGATCTGAATGCAAATATTATTGCTACACGTGCTATTGTAAATCTTAATTGTTATTCCAAATTATTTATATCTGAAATTTTTGCAATATTTTTTTATGCAATAAATCTCTGTTTTTTTCAATTTTATTTTTTTATCTGCAAGGAGAAATATTATCATTGTTCGAGTTGCGATTTTCATCATAAATCTCATTCTTGCAAAATGTAAAAAATATTTTTTTTTTATTTTCAGAACGACTCATAATGAGTTGGAAAAAAATAGGTGAGTGTTTTAAAAATTATAATATAAATGGTTTTATATGTTATATTTATTTAAAAATTATTGGTAACGAACAAAAATAACAAACAAATTATAAGTTAATAAGTATAACTTATAATTATAATACATAAGTCGAAAAGAGTCATGTTTAAAAAAAAAAACAAATTATTGATAAACCTGTTAATTAGTTAATATACTCGTAAAATTATTTCTTCTTTGGACGCTTAATTAAACATTTATCAGAAATAAGCGGTATTAAAGATAGAGATATCATATGCTTTGAACGATAAATTCCCATTTATATATTAAATTTGTGCGTCATAAGTAAATTTATAAATTAAATTTATGAAAATAATTTGTTGCGCATGAATAAGAATAAATAAAATTATAATTTATTGGAGATATAAATCCGAGCAAGATTAAAGTCGGAAATAAACTGGAATAAATATATAAAACATTTTATATGATATTATAACCTTTTCGGAATTAATTCTTTTGAAAACAAAAAATGAATATATCAGTGGCGACTAATGCGTTTCACGTGGGCAGAATAGATAGAGGTGGAAAGATAATTATGCGGGACACTTTTAACATTATAATGTTATAGTTGGAAGGACCAAAGATAAAAAAAAATACTTAACAAATACACGTTATTGCGTTATGTAATACAAATATGAGATGTGTGTGTGTGTGTGTGTAACAAAGAACAGCGTGTTTTTACATTGGCCGTTTCTGTGTCACGCCAGCCCTTGTGTAACTTTCTCTCCCCCTCTGATCCCTCTTCTCAACATGACCACTATTCGCACATAGGCTGCTTGGGTATAAAAAAAAATCGATAGTCCGCCTGCGACTATCTCGCTTTCTCTCTCATTCTCTAGAACACCCCTTCTACCCTCTTTTTCTCTTTTCATACACCGCTGACTAGCGAATTTAACCCCCCTTTTCTCGAAATGTTTAGAGTGCGCCAACGTTTTTCTAAAAGTTTTTGAATTTTTCAAATAAATAGTACGTGAATGAAAATTTAGAGAGAAAATATTAGAAATATTACAATATACAGTTGTAATCTCGTATCTAAAATATACAAATATTACAAATATACAAATATTAAAGTATATAAGGAAGTGTCCCCCTCTCCTTTGATATATCTTATAAAATGCAAACTTTTTTGCCAAATAATTTTTGGAGCAATTTTAAATCATTTATTTCTTTGATTATATGTTATTTATTATGAAATTTTATTATTTAATATCTAGTTCCCTTAAAATAATATGACTCTATCAAAAAAAACATAAAATTTATACTATGAACTATTCCTGTAATGTCATATTCTAAAAAGATAGAGTAATATTGTAATACGAATTTTCCAATTTTCTACATTGTCACGAAATTATTGTGGCGTGAAAGAAAATGAAGAAATATTTCGACATTATTTTATAAAGAAATTGTATTATTTCACATACTACAAAATACTTTATTATCAAGAGATATTTATATAAAACTCTTTGTGATTATCTAATATCTATAAAACATGGAAGTATCTATTATAGGAAGATATTTAGTCTATCTAGTTAATATTTATGTATTTATACATACATACATTAGTATTTATACATTAATATTTTTTATGTATGTATACATGTTTAGTATTTTTTTTTACAGATTAGAATAATTTAGAGTTGGAATTAATATTTTATTTTAGTGTTATTTTTTTCGGTGAAGATAAAATTAAATTTTGTCAGCCGGTGTTGTTTACGCGTCTGTAAACAAATCAATGGCGGTTGATGCAAGCGCTGCGTAAGTATGCAGCGCGTGTGACAAGCATACTTACGCAGCATACAAAACGCGGAAGCCAATGGCATACTGTCCTAAATTTGGCGCGCGGCGGAAATAAATCCATGGCGGCCCAAATCGTACTGCGCATTAAAGACCACGGTTAAAGATTATATTACGATGATTGATGATCTCTCGGTCGCATTTCAATAGCAATTAGTGTTTCATCAAGACAAGATTTCTTGTCTTAAAGAGCATTTCTTGTCTTGTCTTGATTTTCAAGATAAGAAATTTCGTTTTTCTTGTTTTGATCATTTCTTGACATTTTTTGTCTTGAACTCAAGAATGTTGAATTTCTTGAAATTTCTTGATTTTTTAAGCAGGGCCCTTGTGGCTTTTTGACTACGTCGTAAGAGATAATAAGAAAACAAGTACAAATTGAATGTCGAGTAGTTTACTATGTTTAAATTCATTATTTAAAAGTGTTCCTATAATGTCTATTATGCACAAATCTATTAATAAAGATTAAAAATATTTCTTAAATTATCATTTTTAATATCATAACATCATCACTGTCAAATGTAACTATTTCAGATTATTAGATTCCTAAGATTATTATTATAGATATAATTATTATTATAATTACTATATATTTTAATCATTCCTAATTTAATTGATACTATTAGTAAAAAATACGCAAACGTTTATACATAATATACTTTTGCAAATAATCTCGCAGTATTGATTTTATATATATTCCTTTACATAAATATAAAGGTTAATATCTGCATATACAATAAGGATGTATCGGTGAATATAATTTAATTTGATTAGATCAGGAATTTCACTTTTTCAATAATCGATTTACACTCTGCTTATATGCTATTTTGTTATTTAGTGAAAATGTATAAATATATCTATATTATATAATCTGTTATAAATACAATTGAAAATGTTAAAACCTAACTTATTCAAAACTTTTCAAATCAGAAATAAAATAATAAAATATTAAGATAATAAAGTATTAAAAATAAAAACTCACGGAAATTCAAGAAATTTCTTGACTTATTGTCAAGAAATCTTGGTTTTGATAACAATTTGTTGTCTTGTCTTGAAATCATTTCCAATTTCTTGTTTTAATCTTATCTTGATTCAAAACAAGACCAAGACAAGATTTCTTGAATTTTTTGATCTTGATGAAACATCAATAGCAATTCACGATCTAATTTCTCGTACTCTTCTGTTTTTTTTTATTTCTGTTTATAACGGTTTGCATCGGTTTATAAAAATATCGTTTAAAGTATTATCACAAAAAAATATTCTATTTCGATAACCTGTTAATTAACTTAACTATGTTAGTTAAACATAATAATTATACGCATTGTTTTTTTTAAATACTGTAAACAAACTTGAAAAAGTTTAAACTTCGTCAGAAATTTGAGATAACGTTTTGTCGCTTTCGTATGTTTACCATAGTTATTATCTTTTGTTTACCTTATATATGATTGATGATGAAGAGGAGGCCATTGACTGATTTCACGATCAAAAATTGAAAAAACGAAATATAAAAATATATCTACATTAAATTTGATGTCTTATTTTTGAAAATTAATATAAATTCTTTGAATTATTATAATTTAAGAATTAAAAATTTGAAAAGTTATTATAAAGAATTGAAAAGAAGAATCAAATTAAAGAACTAAAAGTATTAAAGTAACTTTGATTTGAAATTAATTAATTTCAAATTAGCGCTTTATTATGTCAGTGTAATCTGTCAGTATTATCGATCCAATTGGTGAACAAAAGTGATAACTAATCGGTCGCTTACGTGTTATTTGTACGAGCCATTACATGAAATAGCGGGAATTTTTTCAAAAGTGT